TCTAGGTTATATCCTTTCCTTCATAGGTCCCTCTCAAAGGTTTTGATTGGCTGGCTCTTCATCTCACAATACCTATGAAGGATGAACCTTTACTGCATTTCTTGCACTGCCTTTGTCCACAAGGGTGTGGTCCTTACCTGCAGCAACTCAAGCTTAAGCTCAAGCCTATCTTAATCAAATATCAAAAGCAAGATGCTGACTTGTGGCTTTTCCTACCCTGCATGATTGTTTTTATATCATCTCCACCTGATGAAGAAGCAAGTAGATGTGTAAAACTTTAATAAAGTATTTTGCACCTCCTTATTGGCCTAACAAAGGTACCAAAAAGACATAAATAATCTATCTGCATATTTGCCACTAAATTGCAGACTTGCACAGAATGTAATTAACTCATGCTATGAAGGGATGCAGTGGCTTAGTGGTCAAGACGCCAATTCTGACGATTGGAAAGTTGGCAGTTCGAGACCCGAGTGCTGCATGATGAGGTGAACTCCCATCACTAGTCCCAGCTTCTGCCAACCTAGCAGTTTGAAAGCATGCAAATGCAAGTAAATATGCACCACTTTGGTGGGAATGTAACAGCATCCAGGGCAGTCATGCTGGCTACATGACCACAAGAGTAGTCCTTGGACAATGCTGGCTCTTTGGCTTATTAACAGAGATGAGCACTGCCCCTTACAGTCGGTTAAGACTAGACATTCATGTCAAGGGACTACCTGTACCTTTTTGTATTTGTCCACTAAAATGCAGACTTGCACAGAAGGTGAGTTATTCATGCTATGAAGTTAGTGACATACTCTTCTTTTTCATGATGAATACTTACCAGACTTCTGGGAGCTTGCAGACTGTACCTCTCCCTGAGGGTCAGTAAAGATGATTTCAGGCAGCATGGGTTTGTTGACTTTGGTCTTGACCTTCACACTGTATAGAAAAGGAAGGAAGATCTACTTTGGTATCACAAAAATCAAACACAACAGTTCTAAAGTTGGAAACTCAGGATTGGGTTTCAGATCTGAAATGAATTTCTGGAGTACTTGAAGGTAAGAGATTAACAGTAAAACGAGATTAAAGCCAGACGTAAGTAGGCACATCAAAAATCAATGGGACATAACTCAGAGCCAACGCTATGTTATTCTGGAATATCAGTATGTCAAGGCATCTTGCAGCACCTTTGAGACTAACTGTGTGAAAGAAATTGTAGCATGAGCTTTTGTAGACTTGGTCTACTTCCTCAGACCAAGTCTACAAAAGCTCACACTACAACTCTTTTCAAAGTTAGCCTCAAAGGTGCTGCAATGCCTTTGTAATGGGACATAAATTAGTAATCACACAGTTCTACTCCAAGCATGAGACAGCATGGATCCAAAGCACAGGCAAAAAAGAAATAAAGCCAGACCTAAGGTCAACAGTCCTAAGAAAGCTAAAAAAAGTAGATTTTAAGATAGCACTGAAAGGAAATACAAGATGGCAATCATTCTTTTCATGAAATTAAGCAAAGGTTATATGACTTTTTTATTCCACTCTTCCTTCAAGGAGTTCAGAACTGTACGTGTGGTCCCACTTTTTATCCTCACAACAACCTTAATGACATTGTTAAGGATGAGAAACTGTAACCCAAATGCAAGGTTGGTGCAATGAGCACCTTTAGAATTATCAGTTCAGCAAGGTCGACCATATCACTTTTCGTAAAAATTAATTTTTACATCCATCTGGGCTATACGCAATGCTATTGCCTTTCATAGAATCACAGAGTTGGAAGAGACTACAAGGGCCATCCAGTCCAACTCCATTCTGCCATGCAGGAACTCAAAATCAAAGCATCCCCAACAGATGGCCATCCAGCCTCTGTTTAAAGACCTCCAAAGAAGGAGACTCCACCACACTTTATATATTTCTATATAAAAAACACAACAAATGACACATCTTCCCTTATACCAATCTTGTCACTTTTCAGTAGCAGATTAAAGCCTTTTTCTCCGCCCAACCCTTTTTCTCCTTTTATATTTGGATCCTACTGGTTATCAGTATGAGGCTGAGATCCTGCACTGCCAGAAATAAAAATGGAGATCCATCACTGTAGCTACTTTTGCCCATCCAAAGAATATCTACCCCTTCAGCCAGACAGAGCTCCAGTGAAAGAGTTTCAGTGGCACTGATGATCAAGGAACAGGGAACTGATGATTGCAGAGATCTCCTGGTCACAAAATGTGTTAAAAAAAACAACAACTAGAGAGATCCCTTGGTGTCCTGCCACAGTTGCTTGTCTTAGCATGCCCTATCACCAGGTCAGCACTGCAATTACCATTTTTCAACATCCCAATCTGCAGTGCCTCAGAAACTCTTTGGCTGGGGTTTTGCCTGACTGAAGAAGCAGAATTTGGGAGTCATATTCGTCCATTAGCAACTATAAATGTGAATCCCAAAAGTAAAGAGAACATAAGTTTGGCTTATGAGCTCATACATATCGAACAGGACGCCAGCCCGTGTCTTTTACCACCCATCACTATATTATTTTAATGACCTGCTGTTTTAAAATGGATGGCTTTTATTTTAAGCATCAACAACTGAGACACCTCTGGGACTGAAGTGCAGTAGAAACATACAATAAATACATTAATACAAAAATATATTAAAACAGGCAACTATAATGTCACCTGTTGTCATGTTTGAGGATATGAACCCTCATCTCCCTGATAATGGTTTGGTGCTACATGTACAACATACCACCAGCTCTCATCAGGATGGATGTAAATTACTATTATTAATTCAAAAAATAATTTAACTTGGATTTTTATAAAAATCAATAAAATTTCTCATTTTTAAAACACCACATGTGCAAAGACATTGTTTGAACAGGACTGCTGTTTTAAGTTTTGGTATACAAAAATATATACACTACCACCTTGGTATGAATCTGCTATTTCCATTCCTAACATACTGCAGCTGCAAGTGCATCCTGTAGACAGAATAATGTTCCCTAAACTGAGGTGGGCAAACTGTGGCTCCTCAGAGGTTGTTGGACTGCCACTCCCATTATCTCTGACTCTTCCAGTTGAGGCAGATGGCTTATAGGAGCTGTAGTCCAACAACACTGAGGAACTCACACTGTCTATATCTGCTTTAAATCAATAAAGCAAACAAGCTTGCTAAGAAAAAAATGGAACTACCGTATTTTCCGGCGTATAAGACGACCCCCCCATTCCCCCAGTCAAAATATAGAGTTTTAGCACCTCTATCCTCAATATCCTTATATCCGGCGTATAAGACGACCCCCCCACTTTAGCCACAGATTTTGCAGGTAAAAAAGTAGTCTTATACGCAGGAAAATAAGGTATATTACTGATTACCTCTGGATTACTGTTTAAGACAGGGGTAGGCAACCTACGGCCCGGGGGCCGGATGTGCCCCCCCCGAGGCCTTTGTACCGGCCCCAGGCCGGTCCTGCCGCCACTGCCGTCGCCGCCCCCCCGCCATGATGATATTGATTATTGTTGTTATTACTTGTTCTTGGGGTTTTCTTGGCAAAATCTCCACAGGGGTTTTGCCATGGTTTTTCTGGGGCTGAGAGAGTGTGCATGCATATTTTTTTAAATTTTTTTATTTGTTTTAATTTTTAATATTTATTTATTTATTTATTTTTAGTGCTTCGGCCCCCCAATTGTCTGAGGGACAGCAACCCGGCCCCTGGCTCAAAAAAGTTGCCTACCCCTGGTTTAAGATATGTGAAGAACTAATATGGCAAACCTAACCTAAATGAATGATTTCAGTAAGGATTTGTTTGGGTAATTTAAACCATGAATTATATCAGTGATTGAAATAAGCATGATTTAAATGACCCCACCCTGAAAGGTCACAGAACAAATTACAGTACTTGAACCAATGTATTCCAATAGATTAAGCATGGGTCTTGAATATGCTGCCGAATTTATGGAGAAGGCTCCATCACAGAACGCTTGTGCTCATCTTCTGTTTTCCCTAATAAACCTGCCATCCCTCATTAAGCATTTTTTTTATTTATACAAGATCCACAAAAGGACAAGATGATCTTCAGCAGGAAGGGAACGTTATGTAGTGTTTAAGCATGTTGTGTTCTAAAACAAAAAACGTGTTACCTCTACATTCCTTACAATCAGCCCAAATAAAAGGAACAGAATTCCTCTTACATGAATTAATGACAAAGATTTGAACTGGGAACTGCTGTGAATGGGAACATCAGCTGGCCTACAAAGGGCAACCTTGGTTATTTGCACAGAACAAGTCCTCATCTGGAAAATGGGTCTAATGAACTTACTTCCCAGCAAAGTGACTTGCCAACTGGAAGGGAGGTTACTTTTTGCTCTGAGAGAGGGGAACGTCATTTTATTAAAACATGAATTTGAGAATACAGTTCCAAAGCTACCATGTTCTTAAAAAGTAGGTAACTGTATTCATCTCCATTTCTGCTCTTACAATCCCAGTGTGCATTAATGAGAAAAACAGATATCCTGGTACAGGTTGAGTCCCATATCTGAAATTCCAAAATCCAAAACATTCCAAAATCCAATTTTTCCCCCCATGGATGGCTGAGAGTGACACCTTTGCTTTCTGATGGTTCAATGTACGTACACAAACTTTGTTTCATGCACAAAATTATTAAAAATATTGTGTATAAAATTATCTGCAGGCTCTGTGTATAAGGTATATAAAAAACACAAATGAATTTTGTGTTTAGATTTGGGTCCCATCTCCAAGATAGCTCAGTATGTAAGCATATGCGAATACAAGTATTCCAAAATCCAAACACTTCTGGTCCCAAACATTTTAGATAAGGGAGACTCATTGTATCTATTTTATAGGTTATAGCAGGGACTGAAATATATATACCATAACTTCAGCTTATTAGATATTAGAATTTGCTGTTGTTCTGAGCCTTCAAATCATTTCCGGCTTATGGTGACCCCATCACGGGGTTTTCTGGGGCTGAGTATGTGACATTTTCAAGGTCATCCAGTGGGTTTCCATGCCTCAGCTGGGAATCAAACCCTGGTCTCCAGGGTGGTAGCCCAATGCTCAAACCACTGTGCCACACTGACTTTGAAATACAGCTATAAGGAACTATAAACAACGTCCTGGTTTCAAATACTGTTGCAGATCCTAAGAGCAGCTTAACTTCTTCAACAAATGTACTTAAGATTGTATATAAAAGGAAATATTGTTTCAAACTGCATATACTTCTTTTGGTTGGCTAGCCATCTTGTCCTGCATAAAAGACTCAGTGGCTGGGTTGTCTGTGGTCCCTCTGAGAGTTACAGTAGTTATTAAGCTCTATCAGCTTCTCTGGGGTTAATTATTTTCAACAGCGTATATAATAAACCAAGTCTCTAGAGAAACCTGTTACCAGTATGTACTTCATTAAGGCTCTTCAGTAGCAGCACAAAGCTAGGCATCTTAAGTTTCCTACCCTTCATGATGATGGGTAGGAATGGTGCATCTGTTAGAGCAGGCAATTCCTCTTCCTCTTGTACCTCCATCACCATGCACTGATGGGTTTAAAAAGCAGGCTTCTTTCAACAAAAAGGCAAAATGAGAGGCGAAAGAGGACCACTCTGCTTCTGCACCAAGCTAACACACTCCCTCGGAGAGTAGTGGAGTCTCCTTCCTTGGAGGTCTTTAAGAAGAGGCTGGATGGCCATCTGTCGGGGATGCTTTGATTGGGAGTTCCTGCATGGCAGGGGGTTGGACTGGATGGCCCTTGTAGTCTCTTCCAACTCTATGATTCTATGATTCCTAAGGGACTGCAGTAAGGCAGCTGCTCCTTTTTGTCTAAAGCCAGAATTTGAACTCGGACAAGTTAATTTTCTGTATGATTCCATACAGCAATAGTGTGGGGTCTCAGTTTGTATAATGAGACCCCATGCTCTGAGCTTCCTCAAACTCTCAAACCCCCTTCCCTCTGGTACCATCACTCTGTGGTTTCCCAACTTTTGTACAGGTTATTTCAACTCCTGTTGCCGTTGTTAACTGCCCTGAGTTGATTTTTACTCATGGTGATGAGACATCATCAAGATGTCTCCTCTTCTTCTCTCCCTCCAAGGCCAGGACAGTATCAAATGGGATGGAGGCCTAGGCATGATGGAGCTGTGCCTGACTCTTCTTCTCTCTCTCCTTCTCTAAGCAACTGAATAAAAATGCCAGCAATCCAAGAACAATAATCCTGGCCCAGGCCCTCCTCTGCTACGCTGTTTTCCTATTTGGAAGGAGTCTATAAAAGCTCTTCTGGATCAATACCAAGGGAATCTCCAGTCCACCATCCCATTCCCACAAGTGAGCTGACGATTCACTTGCAGCTACAGCTTCTGCAAAGGAAGCTGGCATATAGTTCCTTATGCAATACTTTCAGTGCCTTTTTGTACTGCATTGTGGGCAGGATCTTCTGCTGGGTTCTGCTGCATCTCTTAGAGCAGGCAATTCCTTTTCCTCTTGTACTCCATCACCATGCAGTCTAAAACACCTGGCTTAGAGAGCTGAGGGAACTCTCTGGAGCAGGTTTTTTGTAACACAGGGGAGGGAGGAGAATGTCCTAATGCTGCTGGTACTGGACATCAAAGATATCTTGGCCTAAGGCTGTGCAGAAAGCAGAGGTAATAAGTCACAATTGTGCACACTGGTGCCCTGGATAGTTACACGAGAGCATGTTGTCATCTGAAAATGAACTCTATGCTTGCCTTCAGTAACACCTCTTTATGACAGTTTATTACTGATGCTATTTACTTGTGAAGTTTGTGCAGACGCAAGAGAGGGCCTTCTCAGTGGTTGCTCCTAGAGTTTGGAACTCCCTCCCTAGGGAGGTCAGGATGCCCTCTGCTTGCTGTTCTCCCACTGGCAGGCAAATACCTCTTTATTCAAACAGGGGTTTGGAATTGAAGGCTTTTAAGGAAAGAGCTGTAAGACCTGTATTGGATTAAATTGTATTGCTTACCTGCCTTTAAAAATCTTTTTAAAGTGTATGTTTTCAATAAGGCTAATAGTTCAATTTGTTTTTATTGTTGACCTTTTTGTATATTTTAAATTAAACTACAATTATTTTTAATGCGTAAGCCACCTGGAATCCCAATCTTGGAATAAAGGTAGGATATAAATAAAGGTAAGCACAATAACAATAATAACAACTGAAATTTTATCATGTTACTTCTGATTTAATTTTGGTCTGTTAGTTTTAATTCTATATTAAATATTAAATTATAATTTAATAATTCTATGTTAAACAATTTTGTTCTTATCCTGATTTTCCATTTTGATACTTCTGTATTCTGCTGCCTAAACAGTTTGTGTATGTTTATGTGTGTGTGTGTGCATGTGCCTTCAAGTCGCCTGTCAACGTATGGCAACCTCATGAATTTCATAGGGTTTTCACAGGGTTTTCTTACTCAAAAGTGGTTTTGCCACTTCCTTCCTCTGAAATACAGCCTACAGCATCTGGTATTCATTGGCAGTCTCCCATCCAATCACCAACCAGGGCTTTTCCTGCTTAGCTTCCAAGATCAGGCAGCAATCTGGTGTCTGTTAGGGTATTTAGGCTATGCTTAAACAGACCAGACCCTAAGAGAGGGGACAGGAAGGTGAGAAGAGCTACAACTTTTACTTACAGCTTCTTTGTAAAATCTAGGAGGAGCAGGGTGACTGAAACATCATGATCTGGGATTTTATTCAAAATGCAATAATCCATTTGTTCATCCTGAGGAAGGAAAGAAAATATATAAACTGTTTTGCACACTCACTTTTATTCTCTTCCCTAAAACTCACAGCCTTTGGGATTTAAAATAGCAGGCACATCACTTTTGAGACAAGCAAATATTAATTGAAAAGGTGGTACCGAATGCTGTCAAATCACAACATCCAAAATCTTGAGATCCAGGAGGAGCATCTCTTTTTGCCTTGTGAATGAAACTTAAAAATTCTTTATTGGAGGGGCCTGCCTGATGAATTTCTCTCCAGAACCATATGAACTGAGAACAGCCAACTCCAAAACTCCAAAACACAGGCTAACACCATCTTAATTTCTCTCTCTCTCTCTCTCTCTCTCTCTCCTGTATGATTTTTAATATGAGGAAGCCAGTGAAGCTCTGAAACATGTATGTACTTCAAAAGCTTGCAACATGTATTTTGTGCATTTGGTTGGGCCAATAAATGTATCACTGTTTTATGGATTTGGGATGTTGTTGTACTTTGTTTCATGGCCAACATGGCTATCCCTGGTTATGCTGTCAAATCAGTGTGCATCCAGCACAAGCTAAACACAGCATTTTCTTCCAGTTAACACAGCACTTTCCTGATTTTGTCCATAAAAGAAAAAACATAATGCCTACTTACCAGGTAAGTGGAGAATCCATCATTTCGTGTTCGGTCTAAACTGAAACCGACCTAAGAAGAAAATGGGATGAATCAATGAAATGTGAAGTCACCAACAGCTGGAAATATTTTAAAAACAAGATAAACGTAAAACATTTATGTTTCAGGTTAACATATATATTAGCAAAAGGTTGACCTTGACTTTGGAAGGAACTATTTCATATACAAGTTGAGTATCCCTTATCTGAAATACCTGGACCAGGATTTTTTATTTTTATTTTGGAATATTCACATATACATGAGATATTGTGGTGATAGAGCCCAAGTCTAAACATGAAATTCATGTTTTGTATACACCTTACACACATAGTAATCTTATACACATATTTTAAATAATTTTGTGCATGAAACAAAGTTTTCTAACAAAGTTAGAAAGCAAAAGTGTCACTATCTCAGCCACCCATGTGGAAAATTTTAGATTTTGGAGTATTTCAGGTTTTGGAATTCCGGATAAGGTATACTCAGTCTGTATCACAATACAAGTCTAGAAATACCACCTTTCTATGCTGCAGTTCTACCACAATAAAAATAGTATTTAAAAAATTATTTTTAAGGCCCCAAAGGCAATTCCTTTTTCGAATCAGTTCAAGATTTAAGCTAACATCTTATCCACATTATTTGGGACTAGAAGCCACTGAACCTAGCAGTAGACAATGGAAGTTGGGGAGTATCAGGCAATTTATATATGCATTTCATCAGGTGTAAGTGTGCAGAGATCAAGTGAATATGCTCCACATTTAAATTGCAGAGAAATGCAAACTCTGTTCAGTTTAATTGCTGAGAACCACCACTACACCACTTTGACACACTCAGTATTATTTACATTTCATTGATGTAGTGTTGCTTGAAACTCAGAGAAGGCAATGCTGGAGTACTGAACAGACTTAGCCAACTCTAAACCATGCTTTGCCACTTGTAATGAGGGAGAAAAACTGTGGAAAACTTAAAAGAAATTCTCTTGTTTCATTACTATTAATTAGCAATATAATGAACACACATAACACAAATCAAACTGCTGTGGACAGAATGCAGCTTAATTTGAAATGACATCTATTAGCTTTTCCAGCAACTCTGTCGAGGAAGCACAAATATAAAACCACCCATATGCATGCGTGTAAGATGAGTGCACCTGGCTCTTTGAACTTTCTAAAACCAGCGTATTAACAGCTTCTAGATTCTATTCTCCTAAAGTGATGCCATTAAATTCTCACACTTTAAAATATTTAAATAAATAAACTGTAAAATAAAATGTATTTCCACAACAACAGTTGTTACAGTAAGTCAAACAGGACAAAAACTCAATATGAGTGACCAAAAAAATAAATAAATCTCAGTCAAACTCAAACCTTTGTTTGACTAAGGTGTAAATCATACTAAGGCTGCATCCTCACTGCGGAAATATTCCAGTTTGACAACACTTTAACTACCAGGGCTCAATGCTATGGAATTCTAGGAATTGTAGTTCTGAGAGTCATTTAGCCTTCTTTATCAGAGAACCAGGAGCTACAACAAACTACAATTTCTGGAATTCCATAGCATTAAACCCTGGCAGTTAAAATGGTGTTAAACTGGGTTATTTCTGTGCTGTGGTTGAAGCCTAAGTGTACTTTTGTTGAGTTTTTGTCCCAGAACCATATGCTCCAATTTCACTAATTTTGGATGTTTATACACTATATAAATTTTG